CCCCCCCCCAACCAACTAGTGAGAAAGTAGGGACACAAAAAAGCAGAAGACAACGTTCACAGTCCGGCCACTTGAAAATGCAGCTGCATAAATTATCACCAAAGTCAATCACTTGTTTGTCTCCCCCCCCCTCCCCCCAACAGATAGTGGCTCAAAACCAAAGCGTAAACGCAGCTGTCCCGTGTACTTCGGGGTCAAGTCCTACTTGCACGAGTTCTACGATGACCACACCTTCAAGGACCCGTCTGTGTACGAGGACGACGACCACCAGTTTCTGCTCCAGTCCCACCACCGCCGTAGACGGTGCACACCAATATGGTGGAAGGTTAGTACCCGGCAATACGCCCACAAGACAAACGTTGTTTGAAGATGTATGATTAAAAATGGTGAATGACATGGTCAAAACCAATAAATACGATACCTTAGGCAGGGCAATAGAATTTCCGAAGAGAAATAAATAACAAGCCATCTCACGGAAAACCTCAGTTAATAGGAGTTGAGGAGATAACGTGTAAGTTGGGTTATTGTAGCGTGTTCACTTTCTTCCGCCCGACGTCAAAAAGGTATAATAACAAATCATAATGTTTAATCTTCTCAGGTATTTGCATGCGAGTCTAAAATTTCAATGACCAACATAATCTAAAAGCCCACTAATGAATGTCACAGCAAACTAAGGTTCCAGTGTTAACCTAAAGTAAGTGAATAAAAATAATAGTAGGGGATTAACCCTTTCATTGCCGAGGCCGAGACAGTCTCGGGCTCTCCTGTTGGGCTAAAAGTAGAAGCGAATTCCTGTGTTACATATAATAATATTCACCAGTCATAAAAGCACAGGATTCTATGTGCTTGATGTGCTTTTCTGTCAATGGAAGGGCCGGGAGAAGAAAAAACCCGAAGATATACCACATTATCCCAAACAAATAACATGTATACATCGGGTCATATTTTCACCAACTGGTCTTATTCCTGCATAACTACATGTTTTTTTTAAAAATATCTAAAGGTAGGTAATTTATTTTTCTTCATCTAATCCACCAAGATTGAGTGGCTGAGAAAAAAATAGAAAAAGATTTTGAGAGTGTGAAGGGGAGTGCAGTGTTTTGTAAATACAAAAGTCTCCTCGAGATCAGCTCACAGTTGATTCCATTGTGGGGTCGATAGTGTTGACTGTTAAGTGGGGACAACGACGTGACCAAACCCTTTACTTTCAACTAAAAAGTAGCCTTCAAATAAATTCTTTATGCCTAACGAATTGAGATTTACGAAACGCATGAATGCACTTTTACGCTTAGAGACAGACACGGAGACAGAGACAGAGTGAGAGAGAAAAGAGTATTACTATAGGAGCTGTGCGCTGCATATGTTTTTTTTTTATTATTTTACAGCGCATTGAGCCCTTCTTTGTGAACATGCGCTATATAAATCCAATTTATTTATAATTATTGTTAACTCAATTCCTGGGCATGGCAGTGAAGTGGTTAACAGCATACTTACAACATACAAATATGACATGATGATAAAAAAAATGTTTTCATCAACACCACACATTAATCCTAGCCCATGAAACACGGTCTTAATGACGGTATTACATTTTCAGTTAAAAATTACCGCCTCTTTGCGATAACAAAAATACTGCATGATGCAACAAACAAGTAGATCTAAGTAACTTTCGAAAATCATGTTGAAGACGTTTAGACGGTCCTTGGGGGTTACCGTAAATCACTTATTTTTATTGATCCTGTGTATAGATCTATACCTATACTAGGCGGTGTCGATTATAAGGCCCAGATAAAGAAACTGTTTTATTACTATACCGTATCCAATATTTTGGCAGAAGTATTTTTGTTTTGCTCACTGGCCTACCGACAGGCCATGCAAAGAAATGTGCACATTGGCTGATTAATAAATCAATGAGCCACAATTGTCTAACATGGAAATACGAAAGTGAACACGCTATGGCTTTTACAGCCTAACTCTTCGAAGCATTCGCCTTCTATTAGTCCTTTAAAAGCAGTCCTCTTCCTGACCATTCACTAACCGCATTTACTTCTGTGAGATGACTGCAAAATTGCCGGTTGCTCTTCGTAATTACACACACATACACACACACACACACACACACACACACACACACACACACACACA